CCCATCGTGCAAAGAATGTCCGTCTTTTTTTCATCATACATTCGTTAGAAAATTGAAAAGGTAATTATAACTTGCAGCAACACCTACATTGAGGAAATAGTCTTCCGCGTGAAAACCTGATGCTGATCCAAGGAAATTGAGGCCGCATTCAGACGATGTGCTTTATGGCCGTCCACTAGAATCGTGTGTCTAAATACAAACAAATATTTAACCGTATGCAGTATTTCATATGTGACACTTCTTATGGTCAGTGAAGTAGCCAAGTAATATTAAATCCGAGGGAATGTGTTAAATAACAATTGTGATTCGTGAAAAAATCGTAGACACACCTTACGTTACATTTGAATCGACAATGAGAACTCAAAGTCGGTACACAAAAAAGTCCAATTTTCATTCACAAATTAAGCTGTTTTCCTTATAATTTGGCTAAAATATTAATTTCAAGAAAAAAGTAACTAGGTAAATAAATATTTATAAGTAATGCATTTTCAAGCGAATGGGGAAAGACGTCACTGCTTGTAGTTGAACTATACACGGGTATCAAATTTAATTGAATTTGAAATAATCATCACCTCTTCAGTGCATCTTAAGAAAAATATTACTACCAACATTGAAGTGAACGATTGAAATAAGATTGCTGGTTCTTGACGTTCTTTACAGGTATTCAAATCAAAAACAAAACAAAAAAAATCTCATTATAGTAAAATTAATTTGCGTTTTTGACTTCATTCAGAATGTTATATCAAACATTTATTTTATTCCCTATGGTAAAATAAAAAATAATAATAATAAAAAATCCCTCATCGTAAAAACTCTAATATAATATGAAATACTAATACTGGAAATGTTGCTAAGAAAAGGTGAAATATGACAAAGATGATTTTTTTTTTTTGAATTATAAGCAACAATAAATTATTGCGTTCAAAAAAAACTATTCCGTGTTTAATGTTCGGAATTAAAATTAGATCGACGATCATCATTTGTTCGGGTTTTAGCTATTTTTGAACGTCAAAACGATATAGTTTTGAAAAATAATCTTCTAACGGAAGTGCTTAAAATTCGTGATATTTTTAAATCATAAAAGAAACATAATGTGTTAAAAAAAAATGTGTTTTTTTGAAAATACTGGATCGGGGTCTAATCTCCTCTGTCCAATACTCGATATTAATATTATTGGTAATTTGGAGTAGTGATCAACACATGAGGTGGCCATTCTTCCGGAGAAAACGATCGCGCAATTATTACGTCGCCACTTCATCGTTGAAAAGGTAAACCAACAGTCTAAACGTAATATCCATAATATTTTTTAAAAAAAACATAGCTTAGTGAGTGATTTTAACAGCGGTAACTCCAAACAAAGTTATTGTAGACTTTCGATAATTTGTCTTAAAAATAAAACAAAATTGTTTTAAAATATTACATAATATTATGAGAAGAAACAAAGAAAAATAGTCAAACACAGGTCACACAATGGATGAAGTACTAACTACAAAAAACCGACTAAAACCACAAAATCGATGCGCCGTTGAACTGATTTGATGTGTTGTTTGCATTTTCCCTTTTTTTCCCCATTTTTTTTTTTTTTGAATTTCAAAGAATGGAATATAATTATGTAAAATTCTAAAACTCCATACGCTAGTTGATTATTATAATTACTTTAAAGTTTCCCGAAAAAATATATGCTCTATAAAATGGCATCTTCAAATATTTTTAGTTTTTTAACAAAACAAAAATCCAATTCAAACGTAAAGGTTTTAAGTCGAGTACTATAAATAAAAAAGAAAAAAAATACATAATTAGATTATCTTTACTATCTCAGGGGATATTGCAATAGATATATCTTCGTGGGATGTTCCGTATGTAATTTCGGACAATGCCAAAGAAATATATTCGAACGAAAAAACATTAAATTAAGAAGATGTCCATATTGGACATCCTTTGGACAGGTCCGATGCTAACCGTGGGGAAAAGGGAAATGGGTCTATCGAGACAGTAATTATTTTAACCGGGCGCATCGAAAATACAATAGTCTCGCTCGAATCGTCGGGCTCACGTAAAAAACCAAACACGAAAAGGAATAAAAGAAAACCATCCGTCCGACACACGGGGGGAAAAAAAACAAAAAAGCTCGTCCATTAAAACGTACGTGTCCAGAAGAAAGGACGAGCTTAACTAAAATAATTATAAGTGATCGGTTGGATTATAATATTTTTAACGATTGTATACGTTAAAATACCCCGCGGATGAAACGTAGAAATGGAATAAAAAAAAATAATAATTGAAACGAATTAAGATCTTAAGGTGGTTTGGATGAAATTCCTAATAACCACGAAAATGCGTTTTAGCGTAATATACTACAACTGTTACTGCAATGCAATTAAATTAAATTTACTAATAAGTTAAAAAAAATTGTTAGACTTCAGACGAAAAATATTTAAAAAATTGATTTGTGCCCGTCATGAGATGCACTTATTAGTGAGAATAAATAGTTTAGCGTAGTTCCGTAATTTCTTTTTAAAATCATTGTATAATCGAAACAATTATTTTTATCAAAAATGTATACTGTGACTAACCCATGTAACATGTTACATGGTCATAATAAACATTCTTAACATACCGTCTACAAACAGTGAGTGGTATACAGACTTTCGATATTTTATAACACTCGTATATTCATAATACAGTATAGAATGATATTACGAATAATGATTACGAAAAAATACCGCGGAAGCTAAGAAACAATTGGTGGCGACGTTAAATGGCGAATTTTTTCAAAGATTATGTCATTTCGATTAAATTGTAAATGATGCGTCTTTTTTTTAGCCACGTAAAGAAAAAAAAAATGTAAGCGATTGGATATAATTTTACGACCAAACAGAAACGCTTAAAAAATTAACAGCAGGTTGATTGACGCCGAGACCAGCATTCGACGCTGGCGATTGCCGCTCTTATTTTAATGAGTGCGTTGTGATAGGTACGTGAGCCGTGGTTTATTTTTATCGAATCGCCACGTATGGAGCATTTATTATGATTGTTTTGCGGGAATCGGTTTCGTAAACGAGGACAGTGGTCTATGCATCTATTTGCCTGTCCACTTTCTGAAAACGTGGCTCGGCGCCACTGTAAGCGGGGGGTCCGTTTTAAGTCGCGTTTAGCAGTCGAATGAAAAAAACGAGCGTAACGCAGTAATATTGTTTTACAATGGCGATAGTTATGGTGTCTCATCATACGCGGCATTACGGAAAACTGCATTAACAATTAGATATGACCAATAGGAGGTAACTAATACGATTTCCATGCGTTTTTATCGATTTTCAAGGATTCAATGTTAAAATGATAATATATACGATAACGTATTATATATTTTATCAGATTGTATTATCAAGATATTGATTCGCGTTGAATTTTCGCCCAGTTAAATATACACGTCGCCCGACCTCATTTCGCCGTGTAGCAACGTTTTTTCGTAAAAAAAAACGCTATAAACCGGCGCGTAGTATAGGCAATAGTGGTGATCCGAGGCGTACGGTCACATCGTTTTACATGACATCTAAGGGGCCCGGGGAAATGAATTAATTTTTTGTTTTTTTCATTTAGCTTCAATAATATTAACGATGTAATAATTTATTTTTCTAAAACGCGGAGAAGAAGCGCATGGAATCCGAAAATTCCGAACCGTTGCTTGTTCTTTTGGTGTTCAATCAGACGTGAATATTTTTCAAAATGGTTAATATTCAATTATAATGTTTGGTACACATTATTCTGCCCCTAAAATAATACAATATGGTAATTTTTTTATAGTTATACGAAATTTGCAAATTTGATTCGAGATGAATGTATTCTATTAAACAAACAAAATCTCAAATACCGTCGAACAATTTTTTTGATATTTTTTCGGAATTTGACTTTTGTTTATTTCTGAATAATATAATATTTACAACATAATATTTAACTATATTTAAAACAATATGAATAATTCATAAAACATTGTTTTCCGGTCGAACGTTCATCGCAAACACATCACCATGGTTGGCTAGACACGCATTTGAGTTTTAAAAATTAATAAAAAAAAAATTATAGGTACTATTTATGTATGTAAATTTTGTTTGCTTTTATTTAAATGCGAAATTTTCAATGTAAATAATAATTGTACGCGAAAATATACCCAATTACTTATAGTGTTTCGGTCACGTTATTCATTATACGGCGAAAAGATTCGAAATAAATCAGTTATTTCCAAATTCTTTTTCCCATTTCACTTTTTTTTCTAATCAAAATCTCAAAAAAAAAAAAAAATGTATACCGTCAACAAACATTTTACTATACTGCCCACCGTAGGTTTTATCGAATAAAATTGAAATCAGTTCGATAGTAAAAAAAACAAAAAGGTTAGCTCAAACACCGAGCCGTTTTCTTTTTAGTTTATCTAGATTTATAAATATCATGGCTGAAATTATGGAATCGTGTTAAATAATCATGAATAACATTTATGAATACAAATGTGTCCGTGACATTTTTATTCGATTGTTTCTAAAAAATGTATTCTTCATCTTCTCGGGTACCATCGTTGTAACGATAAGCGAATGCGCGACGCAGACAATACGGAAGATTACCGAAAAAAAACGACAAAGCGTGCTACATGCATAATTGAAGACGGATTTTTCAACATTATTGCAATTTTATTTAAACGGAACTGTCTACAGCTCACTTCACCAAAGTAATTTTCGATGACTCTCTTCAGAGTAACTGCCCTCCGATTTTACCTAAATCGCATCAAATGTTCATTTCTAGAGATAAGCGGTAAACGTGAATTAATGTACGAGGAATATTCAATGATAAGCGTACAGTCAGCGTTTTTCTCGAAACACATTGACGTTCTTAGTGTGCGACAAGACAAATTATGTTTTAACATAGTTAGGTACATTAGTGTACACTAAAAGTACACTTCATATCGTGTACTGCTAGTAACAGCTGTTAAGCGAGATGTACCGTGGTTTATTGGTATCATGACTAATGCTCATCTAAAGAACGGCGATAACGCTCCCCGGACGAATATGGTTTTTAATGTTTTCTTTTGGTGTCGTACGCAACATGAGTTGTAAATATGTGATCGGTCCGCGCTGGAGAATAAAGAATCACAATCGAGCACGGTAAGCGATTTATCTTTTACTGAACATGAATTGTTTTTACGCCCGTAGTTCAAAGCTAATGTTACTGAGAAACTGATGATCGGATGTGAACGAACATCGAAGTTACCGGAACGATATATTCGCACGTAATAAAAAGTTATTTTTTGTCCACTGGTTAACGGATGACGGTACGAATTGTATTTTTCGTCTACACGGGTGTCCCACTCGCACGTAAAACCCGATTGAAAGAAAAATCTCTAATGGCGGAGCGATTGGCACAGCGATACCGCTGCGGGACGACTCGTGCGCAGTACGCGCCGTAGTATTTATATCGGTACGGCTCGCGGCGGTTTTGTTCCGCGTGTTTGGCCGCGGTCGTGAGATTACAAAACGGTTGGCTGGCGAACCGGACGTACAACGCCCCCACCGCCGCCCCCGTCAAGAATATCCTTACCGAGTGGAAAAACCCGTCGGATAATACGAACGCGTCGTAACGACGGTCGTGACGACGCGGAGACGTTCGCCGTTTCCGAACGCGGGTTTCCGCGACGGCTCCGGAACGGGTCAACACCGTATTGCGATTCCGATGACGCCCGCCTTGTTTTTTTTCCCGTAGCTGTAATTCGACGCTGTGCGCGTTTCCTGCGAAAACGTCCGTACCGTCGAAGTTCGCATGCCGCCGTTGCGCGCCCCGAATATAAAACAGCGCGCCCGATTCGGCGACGCCGGCCCGCGGAACCCCTTCGCCGCGTTTGTGATGATAAAACGTTCGGGGTCAAATATTGTTGTCGCGTTTCCCCCCCCCCCTCCGTCGTGCGGCGGAACGCCAACTGATAATCGAACAATACGAATATCGTACGTCCGCGGTGCTTACGACCTTTATTGGCGGTCGCCCGCCTGCCGTTCAATCACGCCCGTTATAAAAAAAAAAAAAAACCCGGTCGTTCCGATTCCGGTATTTCGTATCGGGTACATCCGTTTAAAAATTTATCGTGTTTCGTCACGTTATTATTTAGTAATGCCGTTTGTAACACGGACGAGAGATTTCAATAATATATTTTTCGATCGTCTTTACGTTACGCTCGGCACAATGCACTTCATAATAAACACGAGCATTACAACCGTAGGTGCTGTCTTTGAAATTTATACATGTAAGATAAGCAAGCGACGTTATGCACTTAAAATCCACAAAAAAAAAAAAAACACCGTTCAAAAATAACAAAAAACTTTGAAAACGCACCTAAAAAAAAAAAACAAAAACTACAGGTTATTAGTATGTTTTTAAAAGTTCCTTTTCTAGCGGCTCTAACTTGTAAAAAAAAAATTAAATTTTCGAACACTACAAAAATTATGAACAGAAATATTTAAATAAAATTATAAGTATTACAAAAACATAAAATTTGTGTTACTTGAAACACCTCCGAATCCTCTGTCATTTTTGATTTAAAAACAAAAAAAATGTTCAGGGCTCCTATTTTGACAATTTTAAGCGCTTGTCTGTGGATACTAAACGCATAAGTTCCCGAGCCCCGCTAATGACAATGGGTTTGTGTTAAAGGTGTTTGTTTCGATAGTTTGTGGAGAATGTCTTTTTTTTTAACTTCGAGTACACCAATGAACACACCTCTCTCTCCAAAAAACGGCAGGAAGATGAAATATTATATTCGCGCACGATGTTATTTATTTTCGGGCTCAAATTTCGATATTTTTTTTTTTATTCAGAACTAGTATTGTTTCAAATATAGTATTGTATAATTAAAGTATCCAGTTATATTATTTTTTTTCCCGACAATTCGCTGCTTAAGGGCGTTTTGTATATATATATGTATATTGTGTTAAATATAAAAAAAAAAAATAAAAAAATAAACGCTCATAGTTTTATTAAAACGAACCAAACGAACCTAATAAAAATTTACTATCGATAAGGCGCGCGGGTGGTCAATAAATCGAAAAAATTCACCGGACAACGCTCGACGAGTTTCCCTCTGAATGTCATGTTTTTACTGTGATACTAAACATTTCTCGGAAAATATTAATGGATATAACGCGCTACGTTTCATATAAGTAATGACTATGTGTGTATATATAGCACTTTTTGGGTGTAATGGAAGTTGTTACCTATTGTAAATTGCGTGGCAACATTTTCGGTCAAGTGTAACATTTAACAGTCGTGTTTTACTTCTCGTTTTTTTTTTTCTTTTCCGTGGAAATCAAACACCATAAATTACATTAACGTCAAGAATGTGTTTCTAGAACAATACTGCAAAATGAGAGCGATCGGACGAAAACATCAAAACATTTTTTATCGAACAAAATATTTTAATCCGATTGGATTAAAATAATTTGTTCAGTTTTTACCGTTCGAATACAGGGCGATCACGGTTCAGCGATTTCTCGGAAGATTTTAAGCAAACTTGATTTCCGTATGGTTTTTTTTTTTTTTTTTTTGTTTAACCGTTGCGGAACGAATTGCGGATTTAATAAAATTATCGGAAATAATCGTTGATGCTTCATTTTAATACTATATTTTCGTTTTTTTTTTTTTTTTTACTTGATATGGATAGACATTATGTTATTAAAAAGCTCGCGTTGTTTGATATTATGAAAACTAACGCTCATGTGTACCACACTGATATCGGATATCTATACGTGATTTATACTTTATAAACGTAACGATCGTTTCCCGCGATGCTAATTACATCTAGGGCGATAGCTAGCACGCTAGTTTTTAGGTCCGCGTGAATAGTGTGATTGTACACTGGCTAAAAGAAACACGCTAGCCAGTATACCGTAATTTCGATAACAGAACGTGTGCTGATTTCCACACCAGTTACCGGCGCGTAAATATTCGGAACCGATCCGAGTACAGACATTTTATCAATACAGAACACAGGTGTTTTCTTATCATCCCTCTTACCTACGCTGTCTAGATTCCAATACATTTCCTAGCGTGTCACACAACATGGAGGGAATAGCATAGAATATTGGTTCTACGGTACACTGGATTGCACGCAATATTTAAAACGAGCATGCATATATATATGCTAGATATAGAACAATAGCAATATTAGGTATCGTGCGGAACGGGCTTAACAGTTTGGAACGCGTACCGGAGTAATGGCGGTATAGTGTCACATCCGCTTTTAGACGATAACTCTTTCCTACTCCTCCGGTCACAATGTCACGAAATCAATACGAGTCCTATGACCATGAACACGTAAAAGAGGAATTTCGTTTCCGGTCTAATTTGAATAACGAGGCCGCTAATTGGAAATCAAAAAGTCCATATATTTATATTACGTGTTTACGACGGTACGCACGGAATAAAAATAATATTTTGGAAACATCGAAAATACGAACTTCAATCGATTCTGTATTATGATAATTGGCGGGAGGGGGGGGGGGAAACGAAAATCAATTTTACTCGGAATCTTCGTAGATACAGTACAGTCGTATTGGACCGTGTTAAAAAAAAAATCGGCCGGCACAATACAAGCCACTAAATTCAAATCGAATTCGTTCGAAATCGCAAACAACCGTACGGATCTTATGATGTTATTGTAAACTGCACGCCGATGGCGTTTAAACAGCGAAACGTAATATATTAGATTACACGAACCGTGGTAGAGCTGTACGGTCTACATGATTTATGAGTATGAACAGCGTCGAGGATTAAAATACGACCGCCGGTTGTTTTAGACAAATAATCGCGATTTGTATTAGAATAATATTATTATCCGACGCGAGCAAATAAACGCCAGAATATTATTAGCGTGTGGCATCATCGCGGGGAATTTCCGCGGTGTCTACATGCGTACGGAATCGATGTGATTGGTTTCGTACAACAACAGACGGGGTTGATATTCCGCGTGGAATATGTGAATACTTAGAGAATGTGTTCTGAATATTTTGAAAATACTCCGAAGTATACGATAGGTAGAATATGTTGCGAACGGTTTTAAAAAATACTGTATTATTTCTTGAAAATGAAGTACATTTTTCCCCTCGCGTTTTAGAGTGTTAACTGTTTACTAAAAGATGCGCGCTTTATCTTTTTCTCGGAAAGCATTTTTAAGATTAATGCGATCGGAATTTCGTCACAAATTACTCTAAAAGATACAAAATGTCGACTTTGTTCTAGCTCTAATATTTCAAAAATTTCAACAGATTGTCTTTTAGCGTTCACTTATTAATTTTAATTTTTTTTTTTTTTATTGGCCAGCACCTGATTTCAGTTATAAAACTTATCTAACGTCAGAAGTTTATTTATTATTAATTTTTTTTTTTTTTTTAAATTATGTTTTTTAAATATTTACAATATTCGGAATGCTATATTTTGTATGTATTCAAATATCTATTCAGAATACTTATAAAGTATATTTTATACGAGTCTGCGTATAAATCTGTACCTGAATTTAAATCCGTTATAAATGTATATATATACATACGATGTGTCGAGGGGAAAGCGCCCGACTGGCGTCACATGAAAGTACACCGAAAATGATAGAGAAACCCCCTTTTAAGAGGAGGTCTAATGTTTTTATTTTTTATGTTATGGGTTAAAAGTCTTGTTTTCGTATCTATTCCATCATTGTAGAGTTTTGCGCAGTTAAACACGGCATGCCATTCGCGAATGTAATTATAGCGCCAATAGATATCGAGCCTAAACGAGGCATAAGCTCGATGGACATAACACTTTAACGATATAAATAAAAAAAATATTTTTTTAATGCGGCAATTTTGTTCTATCAAAGACAAAATAATATTTAATAATTGACATAAAATACAACAAGATAAATAATAAAGTAGTTAAAAAAAAATAATAATAATAATAATAATAACAATAAAATACAACTCCGTGGTTAATTAATTAATTAACAATAAAATGACAGACGTCGGCGGTGTTCCGATATTTACAATTAGCCTTCATAAATCGAAAACCGACTCCGAGAATTCTAAGTTAGTCACGTTTAGCAAAGTATAACTTCGCAATGACGACGAAGATGAAAGATTATATGAGGCCCGCCGGCCTTTCTCCTGTTATTTTCTCCTGGGACACATTGTATACAGAATTCCGTAAAGAAAATATACGTCCATAAACAAAAAAATCGATTAAAGCACCTTCTTTCTGGCGCTTGAGTGTATTTTGGATTCTGAGCATAGCGAGGAATATATTGGTTTAACTATAGTGTTTTTTTTTTTTTTTCTTTCTACATTTTGTGTCTGTAAACAACTTTTCTCACAGAAATTCGACTACAATCAAAAACTTTTAAGGAACTTTCTTTGTAATGGTGCGCTGGGAGATCATTTTTCTTTTTTTTTTATTTGCGTCGTAGTTTTCTTAATAAACGGCGAACACTGGAAAGTGTTTGGATGATTTTTGTTGATTTCCGCGTTACCTCGATAACAAGAGAATAAAATATACGACTCGTGATACTCTGCTCAAATTCTGCTTTCAACTTCCTTCCTAAAACCGTGGCCATATCCATTAGCAGTATCAGCTTTTTTTTCTTTTTTCTTTTTTTTTTTAATACGAATTTTTCACACTGTTATAATATCATGTATGCATATTGCAATATTTTATTCGCGTTTATAGTTCATCATAATTTAATATAATATGCGATTTGACGTGCAGTATATAATTAGCTTGTACATTTTGTGTGTCAATTAATACGCCGAATATTAACGTCTAATAGCGTCGATATTAATATTATAGGAGTACAAAATACCGCAATAATAATCGTTAGTGCAGGCGACGGTAAAGAGAAACTTTGACGGGACAATAACACGTTTAGAAACGTACTTAATGGTGTTCACAAATGGCAGGGGATTGGAGGAACTTAAATTAACATATTCTTAATGCCACGTCGTAATGTACATTTGTGACGGCCCAACTAAATCGTTTGTTTACAAAATAGATAACGATTGATTTGCGAAACGGCCCTCCGGTTGGTTTATTGTGCTGTTATTATAATTATATTAGGTGCTTAAGTAAATTTTCGATGTAAATATTGAATTATTTGAATTATTATTTGTTCTGTAAAAATGTGAAAAAAAAAACACCTTAAATATCAAAGCGTATTATAATAATATTATTTTATTATCATTCGAATGCAATATAAAATGAATCACTTTTAGTTCTATAATATAAAAAAAAAAATTAAAAAAAAAAAAATAATAATAATAATATTAATAATATCACATTTATCAACTATACATTACGTAGGTACCATCGGAATTTATTACAATTTTTAAGTCGTTCGAAAAAAAAAAGTTATCTTTATAAATTAGTTTCAAACAAATATTATTTAATATTGTACATTGAAGCTTTAACAGTGTAGGTACTCAAGGCTATATATGCATGTATATATAGGTAGTATTTTGTGTTTCTTTATAATTTATACGGATACTTCTTTTTTTTTTTCAATATATATTAAGTATATACATTATTTTTAAAAGTATTAAAAAATAATCAAAGGAACATTAATGGAAATGATTCATTATAAATTCCATTGAAAAACCTATCGATGAAATTATATTATTGCTTCTTCAAAGCCCGCATAATATTGAATCGAAAAAGTATGTAGGTAATAAAAGGGCACACTCTTAAAAAGAAAGCGCCTTTTGGAGAACGAATTCAAAAACTGGACCTAAACTACAATAATATAAAACATCATATAGTAATAAAATTCCTCGAGTTCTTGGAACCGTGCGTAAAGGAAGTACAATGAAATAGCCGAAACAAAAGTGAAAATGTCGATTTTCATTGATGCGTCGTGAATCGAAACAGATTCTGGACTATTCGTTGCACGGTTTGGAATTATCTGTGTTTTAAGTAACGTTTTCACTGCAGGCCTTGCAGTGACTGTAGATACTGTTGAAGTGCGGTAAATCGGTGACCAACTGATCGCCGAATCAACGTGGCAGACACGATTTTGCAAATTTTTTTAAATTCACACAGTACAAATATCTACATTTAACATCACTTATGAAATAATCGATAACTTATTAAAAGAAACTTTATTTATAGAAACGTTGTTACTATGATAAACGGACGATACCGACACGACCACTGGCGCATTTCGACCGGCACCGAATATGACAGTCTAGTTACATCGAGACGAAAGTTTGAAAAAAAAAAATAATAATAGTCGAAACCGCAATTATTTATGTTAAGACATGCCGATTGGAATGGTGTACAACTTATTAGAAAGAAACACCGCCAAACGGATCAATACGGTACTCCGGGCATAAGTGGACAAGACGTTATACTGACCCGCCTAATAAGAAGCGGGCACACCTGACACTCAAATAAACACCTGACGGACAGAAAAAAAAAACCTCTGGAAGTTGCCTCGCATGTGGTATCGCTGTCGATCACTCTCCGCTTGAATGTCGACGACCGTCCAACAGAGCGGCGAAAAATACCTGTCGCGGATAAATCGGCCGTAGTCTTAACGCGTGAAAATGATAATCGAATTCCGAGCACATCTGCCGAGCTTTGCGGACCAATACACAATATCACTGTTCGCATAACAACAATTTCTAGCACCTATATGTGTACACGTGTATCACAATTTAATAACACGAATATCCGCCGAATCGTTAGTGGCATTGATGATGTATTAATATCGCGCGTTAACATAATATTATTATGAAATTGTATTATGATAATGGGACTCGTTTCAAATTGCATGAAAACCAAGTATAAACCGTAACAATTGATTTTGTTATCAACTATAAAATTGGACACCTATAATTATTATTGTACGTGTAGTTCTGAATTTAAAATTTTTAAAAAAAAAAACCCTTGGCGACACCAACTTTATCATACTATCGCGAAGGCGACTAAAGAACATGTCGCCTATACTATCGTTAGTCATGACGGTACGTTCACTGGGAGGCGTATAGTTTTCCCAATCGTGATAAGGAATATTTTTTTTTTTTACCATCGTTAAATAAAAAAATTTAAAAAAAATACCGAATGGAAATAGAATAAATTGGTCTAATTCTACTTAGTGATATTGTACTATGTACCAGATACTACGACGAGACAGTCAACGATAAGAAATCACGACCCGCGAAATCATCTATTTATTTACATGTATTATTTTTCAAACATGGAGATTTTTTATTTTCAAGGTCAGTACTATGTACTATGTAGTATGTTGTAAATCATATTATGATAACTGTACGCGTCCTCATTCGCACAGACGTTTCTATCGAAATTCACTCTAAAATTGCGTCTTCCGTTATCACTAAAAATACTATTCTGTCTTACCTGTGTACGGTGTCTCAGTAACGGTTACTATTGCAATAGTTTCGACGCCAACAAGCGTCGTATGCACCAGGCTTTATAATCGATTCAAATAATTCAGCATTAAACGCATATAGGTACACAATATACAGTGTTGTATTTTAATAAGTTCTACATTTTTAGATTTGATTTGCACGTGTCATAAGTATATCATTACGGCAAACGAATTGAAACCATTATCCATCAGACGATTACAATAACCGCGATCAATATCCGGTGTGTTCTCGTTAATTAAATACAATTAATCGTAAATAACGATAATTGGATGACGTTATTATACGAGATTGCCGATAAATAATTTAAAAATGATTGTAGTTGCCCACTCATCATAATACGAATATAGCAATATGATATGGAGAGGGGGGGAAAGTAATATGACATATTTCATTTAAAAAAAAAAAAAAAAAAAAAAAACTCGTATACGTAAATTGTTTAAGTAAAAATATATCGGCTACTATAATTTTACTAACGATAAATTATTAACTATTTAAAAATAATTTAAGCTTTATCGATGACATATCGGTAAAACAAACGCGCACAACAATAAAACTCTAACGATAATTTGTATGCGTATAAAACTGTTTTCAAATCGACCAATATTATACCTAAAGTATAATTTAATTTTTGTTTTCTAAATAAACGAAATAACTGTTTCTATTTTCCTAGTAACTAAGAGTTAACCTGAATTATTTATCCTACCTAATGATTTATGTGTCAGCTAACTAATTAAATTAATGCATAAACGTCTTAATTTTTTATCAAATTTACATACAAAATAAATTAACGATCTGATTTAATATCATCGTAAAGTAAGCACATGTCACAAAGTATAACATGTTTGTCGTTCTCGTCATTTTCTGCTCTAATGACCAACATAATCGAAGCGTCCGGCCGCATTTTGTTATCACTCGATTTTTTTTTTTAGTATCTAGATAATATAATATTATGACACCATCATATTCAATTTAATTCGGGACTGACATACTTCGCACGTGGGCGCAGCCGCTGTTGTAGGTTTAATTGAATATAATGTATATGTTAGAAACGATAAACCATTGCTAATGAAAAAATGATTCTGAGTGAAGTTCAGTTAATAGTGTCGCTATGTCTACAATATATATGTCAAATATTACGATAAATGTATTACAGCGATGATTGTTTAAAAAGATTAAATTAATAAAAACTTAATAATGACAAAAAACAAATAAAAATCAATGAACCCACTTATTATTAATCTATCAGTATTTTTCAACCTAAAGACCGAGGTTTTCCTCAATCATCTCGAATATTAATGAGAATTTCGAGAAATTACCTCTGTAAAGTACCACCCAGAGAACATTTCCTTTCAAAAAAGGTACTATACTTGATAATCGAAGTGAACTCTCTGGTAGAAAAAGTATTCGCATGAAAAAAAAAAAATAATAATAAACATTATTGTAATACCAGTAAATCCCTCGCATCGTTCGGAATCTAAAATAAATCGTACAAATAAATTAACAATCGGGCTAATCGAATAGACAAAATCTAAAGTTATGAAATATTAAAAATAAATACGAAAAATTTCGTACAATCGTATAGGATTCTTTGAGACCTTTATAAACAATGCTGAATCGAGTAGTTTTGGTGTACGTAATAAAGCGACACAAATATAAAACCGCGTACCATTCCAAAACCCGAAATCATCATAAGAATTACCTCGGGGCACCCAATATTTACATCATAAGATAGACTGTGCCTATACATTTCAAAACGTTCTTTGTTTCAATACAGATTTATAAATCCTCTCGTAGGATTACACACCTCGCATAATGATATGCGAAAATACAACAAAGAACTCTCGGCACTCCGAGATTGTACGTAATTTACATGTAAACTACAACGGTATAATAATTCAAATCCAATAAGTACACCCTTCTCACAATGGAATCATTGTTGGCCGTAAAAATACTTATTTAAAAACGGAGCAAAAGGTGCGGCGAGGTGTTCTATTAATTTACCTTTGAAATGTTTGCTCGCAAAGGTTTCGACCGAGCGCACCAAATTATACCTATAGCGACCGGTCATTTGAACACGCAATGTATGTATAAAAAAAATATAAAAAAAAAAATAATAATAATAATAAACAATATTGTCGGTGCATTATAATAATATAATACGCCGGCCCAATGATTAAAACAACACTTTTCGGGCGACACGTGCGTGTTTCGAAAAATAAATAACGCATTATCCGGTTGATTGATAAATAATGTTTTATAAGTCAATATTTATTATTTTTGTTTAATTTACATAAATAATTACCAATCGTTATTATTACAAAACATCGACCAACATATAGATAAGGCTAAATAACTATTTTACCTAGGTACACGATGGCATTCCGACGTACCCGCCTGTTACAGTTGTGATTCAGGCCCAGATTAGGGGTTATGGGGTTTCGGGAAACCACATTAATAAGGAGACTTATTCTATTAAAATGGAATAAATAGTTAAAAAAAAAAAAGCCATAAAATATTTGATTCATCTCATAATATTATAGTCTTTTTGGGCCTCAATTTCTCGTGAGTTTCAGGGACGTGCCCACCAGCCCCCCTTTACTACTGGCCTTACTATGAACTGCCCATGTATCTCTCTCTCTCTCTCTCTCTCTCTCTCTCTCTCTCACTATCTTTCTTGGTTACCATCCTAGGATTGGTTTGCAGCTAACTTCCACTCTTCTATCTAATCCGCTTTCATTTTTATTTACACATATAAACTTATCCTTATTAATTATTGAATATACTCTAATCTTAGCCTTCTTCTATGATTTTTTCCTTCCACACTTCCTTCTATAATTATTTTGAATAATCCTTCATGCCGAATTGTATGCCCTCTTCATTTATTTCGTCTTTTTATTAAACTTTTCCATAGTAGTTTTCTTTCCGACATTTTTTCGAGAACCTCCTTATTAGTTATTTTGTCCATCGAGCTTATTTTTAACATCCTTCTATAGTCACGCATTATAAATGCGTGAAAATTTTTAAATTTCGCGGAAAGAAAGTTTTTCCGTAACTCATGGAAATGAACCGACATTTACACGTAGTGTTTCGAAAACAACCTACGATGTAGACATTTCGCCGGGAGTCACTTTATTTAAAAGAAAAGTTTCTAGATTTCCAAAGGTATTTACGATTTAATAAACCGACAACAAATGTACCGAGGCCTTTATTGGTTTTATTTCTGGTCTATCCACATCTATATACGGTTATAAGGGAAAAAACACGACTAATGTAATACTACTTTGTTCACAATTTGTTTATGATTGCATTTTTATGATGTATCGTTTCTTTCGGTAATCGCCTTATGTCTTTCGAATTTTGTCCGGCTTTATTTTTTTCTTTTTCTAAAAAATACATTTTATTTAACAACAAAATCAATAACAGCAAACACAAACTTACGTATTTATTTTCATCGATTTAAAGTTATGCATAAATTGTTAACAACTATAGATTTAAAAAAGCAAAAGTTGACGTGGTGGTGTGTAACTATCATATAATAATAGGTACTCAGTATAAAGATTTTGCGTTATTATTCGACTAATATGTGCTTGCATTTTAATTTTTCCGAAAAAGTTTTTTTTCGAGAATATAGAAAACCCAATGCATTCCGATGAAACCGAACTGTAAACGCGTTATTAACCGTGAACAACTGTGGGTAACTTTAAGAAAATACCTGACAAATATGTGAGACAAGTCTAGACGTTTATTGATTAAATAAACCTATTTTAAGGTATGTATTCTAGACGGATTATTTAAAATGTTTGAATGTAAGACTGGCCTGAGACAAGGTGATGCACTATCCTTAGTGATGTTTAATAAAGCCCTGGAAAAGGTGGTGAGAAATACACCAACCATTAAAGAAATGTAAATAATCGGATACTATATCCTATGCTAATGACATTATCTTATTAGGAGAATCTAGACACGATGTTGAGGAAGATGCAAAAAAGCTAATAAAATCTGGCAATAATATGGGACTTGTAGTAAACGAGGACATGAATAAATATAAAACAAAAACTAGGAATGTAACCACGAAGGATAATCTCTACATCAAGGGACTTACTTTCGAGCTGATGGAGGACTTAAAGTACTTCGGAATTAACATAAATGAAAAAAACAATAATATACACATAGTGAAATTAGGATGAGAATAAATGTGGAAAACATAAGTTACTTCACAATGAAAAGAATGTTCTCCTCCAAGTTATTGTCCAGGAGAACAAAGTAGCACTTATAATATACGTATATGTGATCCGTATTGATATTTGACGTACGCAAGCGAGCCATGGTCATGCAACCAAGGTGATCACAAAAAACCGCAAAGATTCAAGAGGAAAATAGATGGACCGTTACACAATAATGACTTGAAAATACTCGAAAAAAGAACTTATGAAAACCTGTGACAGCTGTACAATAACTCGAGTCCACGTTACTTCTTATTTAAGAAAGAGTTTAAAATGGGCAAGAAATCTGGCAAACCGAAGGGTCACTCATTAAGAAAGTTACGAAAGACAAGCTAACGAGGAAAACAGATGACACAGTAGAAAAATATCTAAAAAAAGTCAATCCATTAGTATATATGAGAGTGGCATTGGATAGATATAGGTGGAAAGCACTTTAGAAGCGACAATGGTTCTAAATGGACCGCTATAAGACTAAGAAGAAGGAGAAACGCGTTACGAAAAATTTTTGTATAAATCGTTATATTTCTCGTTAAAACATCTAATAAAAAATTAAAAAATTAAAAAAACAAAACAACGTTTACTGCACTTAGGCATAAGACATCCCGTGTAATTTGATTAGTCCAATTATTAAAGAAAAAAAAAAACGTAAAAGGCTTTTAAAATGAAAATGTTATTTTCTTAATCGTGTGGAACGACGTGATTTAAATTTTACGAGAGAACGTGATAATAATTACGAACGTGATAATAATTATCAAGTTATAGCGTAGCCATTTTTTTCTGCGGATAGGTAGGTACCCAAAGGTTAGGTTAGATGATAATAACTACGACACCGTGTTCGTATTTATCATAATTTTTCATTTATAAACTAACTGCGAAGTACTTTTATTCGTTTACATGACAAAGCGGAATCAGAAGCGTGGGTGGAAGAGGACCGGGAATACCAATGACGGATCCAGGATAGACCTAGAAGCCCAGGCATAAGAAGGTAGGATACTTAAGCTTACCCTTAAAATTTATGAGCTATTAAGACTAAGAAACCGGCCAATAAATATTCGAAAATTGTTCTCAAAGTACCGGAATTGGGTTGGATTCAAATTTAGTAACATTATTTATCGAGCTCAGATGGATAATATTATAGAAAATATCGTAATATGAAAAAAAAACCTTGAAAAATTGAATAATGCTATTGAAAGTGATATCGGTAGACATTGTTTTTGTTGTTTTTTTCCCAAACGGCAGACATAGTGGACAATTAAAATAGTTATAGTATTAAATTTTAAGGTTTTACAAGTTACAAGTAATTATTGCTTTATGATTATAATAAATATAATATACAAACACATAATGTTGTGCAGTACGTGATAATAAAATATTATGGTAATAAATTTTTAGTTTTAATGTACGTATTATCATATTTTTTTAATAACAATCATCATATTTAAATAATGTAGACAATTTGAAAAACAGTAGTTAATTTTAAAAAAAATGTTTTTATCAAATCGTTCGACCACACAAATCCACTAGTATCTAACTTAGCTAGTGAATCCATCCCGGATAATTCCCGACGCCTACTAAAAATACTAAACTAATAACTTCTCCTCTGCCAAGTCAGAGGGTCACCAGACTGGTGGACCTCCTTGTTCACGTTATTTTACGTGTTGTGTTTTAGTGAAGTTACCAAATTTACTTATTGAATAAAATAATGTTACATATTCTAAATACGATTTTGTTTAAATAAAATGAAAAAAAAAAAATTCTAAATAGAATTCATTTTCCACTAAAAATCTAGATGACTCGAAAACCTTAGTAAATTGAAACAGTTGCATTTCTTTTGAGAATTGACTTATCGAGATTTCACTATATTTATATTCGCAGAGAGACGCACGGTTCTGCCGCGGTCGTGTTTACCGTCTAAATTTTATTTTATTGACGATTTTTAGGTGGCAACAAACTCGACACTTACACCGTTTGCCCTCGCGTACGTCACACAACGTAATAAAACGCCGCATATTTCGTATGTATTGTTTGCTGTGGCGTAATAACGGAAAGAAAAAGAAGGTTGATCCTCCCAGTGCCTTGTCATTATTGCTTCTATTTTTTTTTACAAAAGGTAATATTGTAATTGTATTTAAAGCCGTGGCGGTCGGTAAAAGCGTCGTATTTTAAAATACAAATTTCAAATTTTTGTTAGTTTACTTCTCCGGTAAATAATACAATTGTTTTATCTATAAATACGATCTCAAGTCTGATCGTATTTCTCATACTACAGACTATCTATAGTATAAATTTGTAAATTGTAATATACGTGACTTATAATTTGTGATTGGTGAACATTGATTATGATGTGACGATTAAAAAATGTAATCGAAGTCGAAATAAAATAGCAATTAATTAATTTTTTTTCAAAACTAATTTAAACGCTTTCCCATAACTGATCAAAAATAAAAAAAAAAAAATCATGGCTTGGGATTTCAACACAATTGGGTAATTGAGTTTACCCAGTTGACACTATGTAGAGCTTACAAATGACGTATTTTAAAATGTATAGTTATTGCCACTCCTGTTGACGGGGTGAAATACAGTGAATTTAAAAATAATTTCTCCCGCCAGAACGTATTTTTAACAGCCCCCGCGGATTATTTTATACATGAAGTTTCGGAGAAACATACAGCGTCACTGCCCTGTGAATTTAGATTTAGAATTCTTAAAATTCCTTTTCCCAGTAGCACATTTTTTTTTTAATCTACAAATTGTACGTTTTATCTCTGAAACGTGTTTTAATAAACTTCCCGTTTGTTTTACGCAAACGAATTTTTTTCTGTATTTTCGTGGGCCATTGTCCCATGTAGAAAAACCGCAGTTACGGTGAATTCAATTATGACAACCTCTTTGGAATAATAATAATACACGGACCAATTAATTGACTTGAGATTCCTGTGCTGTTACGGATCCGGAATGCGTACGGGGAAAATACGTCGGTTACAATAATAATTAGTTAATCCGACTAAACATTTTAATATTCTCGACGGTTTCGTTATGACGAGCCGCTAACAATAACGACGGACGGTCTTTCGGCTAACCGGCGGTCGATTTTCGAGGTTTCCTTTATCAAAGGTTGTTGGGGTGTTTTTTCTCTCGAATTCCATAACGACGAAGTGCCCGCGTGCACATAATCGTATCTATGCGCGTAAATAATATTATTGCAGTAGGCACTCGATTCTGTGTGCTTCTATGTCCCTTTTTTTTTATACCGTTTCTCCGATTTAAAATTGCGGAATTGATGTGAAAATAAATTATATTCAGTTGCTGGTGCGTCGACAAGATTGATTTTTTTGATTTTCCTTAAACCTAATTCCTTTTCTTGATAATTCGTAAAAAATAAAGGAAAACTTTAGAAAAAACAAAAAAAAGTTATCGTTTCATAGAGAAATAATAAAATAGTTGTATGTAACATACCATTTTATCTTCCCACCTACAAGAACACTCCCGCCATCGTTATTAACTATTTTTTCTTTTTATCTAGGTAAATGCATTTAAGTGTAGGAAACAGATATTTTTTCAAAAATAAATATTGAAAAAAATGCAGAGAATCTCATTTAAATTTTCATTTCTTCTTTTTATTTATCAACTGTTTGTTCGTTCTGTTGTCTTTTAGATTCCGAGTATAGTAGGTGAGCTATTGGTTTTACTAAGATGTTTATTTTTGTCTTCTTCTAGTATGTGGACACGTTTTTTCTTAGCACTTGCACCGATTTTTACGCATAGCTCAAATTGTCTAGATGGTACTTAGGGAAGTCATTTTTTTCCATTTTTTAAAAAAGCATTTAAGTTGGAAAAAACGTAGAAAAACGTAGAATTTCACGATTTCATTATTTTATTAAAACACGACTGACGTTTTACTACGAGAAAAAATGATTCAATCGAAAAATTGCATTATACCTTTTTTATTACCTAATTGATTTACTTTTTTACGGTATCATTGCTAATACCTTTGAGCTTTCAAGTTATTTTAATTTTTGTGAGTTATTTTGCTGTAATTCGTTTTCAAATACACGCAGAAACATGAAACTTGATAATCATACTTATATTGGACTTACATAAAAATGGTAAGATTTTAAAAATCGTCAGACGACTTTTTTAATTTTTTTACAATGGTTCTTTTTTTTATACTGTAGACCACTTTTATCCTAAAAAACTTGCTCCTATGTATAAGTTTAACACCTTTTCTGAAAGTCAACTTTATCTACTTGGTAAATACCTAGATAATTTTTAGATTTTCGAAAAAGTTTTCATATTAATCGGGAAAAAACGTAGGAAAAAGGTATAATTTAACAATATCAATATTATACGGGAAACGTTTATTATTAGAAAAAGTGCTTTAATCGAAAAATGACTAGAAACCTTTTTTGTATCATTATATTTTTTTTTTTAATAAGTGTTTTGAAATCAAATTTAATCGGAAGTAGCAAAAGTAGCTTCAATTTGTATTCTACCGAATTGCGCTTGGAATCGTTTTTCGTCAGCAAAGATTTATCATTACTTACAAATATAAATCAAATAACCTTAAATATCCTAACTTCTCAACTTCCCACCTACATCAGACGCCGTTCTCATCCTCGGTATCAGCTCTTTTTCAAATGTGAAAGGCATGTGTATTGATCTATAATGAGCAACAATAATGTTTACACCGGAGAATGACACTATAATTATTATTTAGGTAACTTATACGCTACAAAAAAAAACTTTTTATTTGGACAAAGTGTAATTTTCTATTGTCTTTCGACTGGATGAAACTATGTTTAGTTATCTGTTATCTGATTCTAATTTTAATTCAATCATCATTATCGACAGTAAAAAACAAAACATTACCAGGGCACACTGTCATCCTATAACCGTTTACGCAATACATAATACAATGATTTTTTTCGGTTAAGTTCGTTAAACTTTAGTGGTATAAAATTCTAAACGAATTGAGTAATGTATTGATTTTACTATGATTCTTTGTTTTGTTTTTTTGTACCTTATTAAAAACGTTTCTATCGAATATCTAACTCCAATCGAAAACTATGTAGGATCTATATGGTGCATTCAAATGAGTTAATTTATGATTTTTCTTGTAGTTTTCTAAATAAATGAGAAACAACTTAAGAAAGTCCACTAAGTAAGCGTTCAAAGTTCATGATTTTTTAAATGCGTTTTAATGAAAATTTCGAAAGAATTTGGTAATCTAAATAAAATAAAAATTTAAATTTTTTAGTAGTTTACACAAATTTTTAAAATTTTTAAAGCACTTAAATTCTGTTACCTATTTTTATATAAACATTTCGTGATTTTATATTTGAATTAATAATAATTATAATAATTCTACAAATAATATAATATTATTATACCTTATATACCTTCATGTCAACCAAAATAACAACTGTAACTAAGGTTCTACTAAAATCGTCGACACACGGATGGATACTGCGGGGATATTATTTTCAGAATTCCATTTGAAATTCTGAAATTTAAGATTTTAATTGATTTCTGCTTTACAAACAAGCGACAAGAGGAAAAATACTTGCTAAGAATCGTTTTTCGCTTTGGTCTGTCATTGCATACAAATATAAATTGAATGTATGTATTTATTTGTTCATTTTCCAGCGTATATAATTTTTAACTTTCAAACTAATAAACATCGGTAATAGACTTAACGAATCATACGAGTAATTATACAAGCCGGCGGCGACTAGATTACCAGGGGCAAAACGACGGCGGTGAGGTGTTCCAGACCTTAGTAAACCGTATCGACGACTGCTTTAATAACAGACAATGCCGTATTCAAGGAGAGAAGGGTTGATAGGTTTCCAGCATCCCCCTAAAATGTCAGGAAATCATAAATTATTGTTTTAAATAAGTACAATATATAGAACACTATATACAGAGTGTTCCACGAAGATAATAATATACCCATTGTAATACCTCCAGAGATAATAAAGATAAATAAATTATGTATTTTTTGTATATATAATACTCGCAGAGACAATGATTACAAATATTTATAATGATATTAATTTGTTTATGTTTTGGTGAAAAAATAACTTTTTATTTTAGTATAATCGAACAATTTGAAGATGGCATGATTTCTCTGGAAATTCTGGGGTTTCAGCTGTCTGTTTTCGTTAAATTCGTGATTTTTAATAATTTTTTAAAGTTAGGAGTAAAAAAAAAAAAGGGGTTTAACTACAGTAGTAATAACAGCTTGCTTGTTGCATACCTATAGGTATTTTTCTCTGAACTTTACGCAGAGCTCCACGTATACTAATGTTATTCGGTAGGTAGGTGCTATTTTGAGTATATGTATTTTGGTAAAAAAACAGCTATGTATTGAATATAATAACCGCAGTTAAAAGTTCAGGCAAATGACATATTTTATTGTCGGCAAAATAATGCATTTTATTTGAATTATTAAAATGTATAATTAATTTAATAGCATTCGAGATGATTAAACATTTATTGTGTTATTCGTTAATAACGTGCACATTCGATTGTATTGGTTTTCAATACGGCGAGAACTAATTAAATCGTTTCGGAGAATTCGTCGACAAAGTTATATTGAACCCTCGCGAAAAAATTAACAATTCTTGTTTTATACGCGAAATGCAATTTTTAACAAAACGGACGCCGAAAAAATAATTTATTTAAAATATGTTAAGAGATTTCTAAAGAAATTCTCCGGGAAAAAAAATAACAACCTATAATTTAATTTGTATCTATTACGCGGTAAATTACGGCGCTATATAATAATACACATTGTTTTTTTTTTTTTTTTTGTTTCGTTTTTTTTGTACTTAACCGCTTTAATAATAATAATGAACAAAAAAAAAAAATCTCTGGTACTGCTGACAAGTGTGCCACTGTTTTAGACGGAAAGTTGACAACGCAAGTTACACGGGCGGATATTACTCAATTTATATTTCTGTGCGCCCGGAGATTAATCGTCGTCAACCAAAAACGATTCTGTGCGACGTTTCGTAAAGCCGTACGTTTCAAAAACACCCCGTGGTTTATACACGGAATTATAGAACTAATTTCACCGGAATTTGTTTTATTCGTTTAACCATAGTAAAGTAGATGAACCGGTGATTTATTGAAAATCACTTCCATAGGTATTCGATTCGTTTGGACCTTAAGTTAATAGTGATAAGTTTTTTTTTTTTTCAAAATATCCGTTTAATGGAATAATTCACGTGTCAGTCAGTAAAATTATTTCGTTCAGTAAGTATATTGTGTGATAATATTGCTATTCTAAGGGTCGTTTTGAAAATTATTTCGATTGTTTTATTAAAACGAACGGGAAAAAGAATGATTAATTATGGTAATCGCGGTATTTTGTACGGAAACTTGTTCAACCGACAAATATCGTTCCGTAAAAAAGGAAATAAAATTGATTTTTAACTAAATACGGCGGGTGCAGTGGTACAGCGTTGACAGAATAGGTACTTATGGTGTTACAGTCTTTCGCGAGTCAGAAGTCTGAACGAATAAATTTCAATACGAAATACGACGAGTGATTCGCTTCGTTCGTGTTTTTATTTCGAACGGCGATAATATACTTTCGGATTCCGTTAATCATTCGGTCCGATAAAAACCATACGGCGTATATAATACGTATTACGTAGGTGTATGGACGCATTTCTCTTGTTTCGTAAAACGTCCGTGGCGCGAAACACATACGTACGGTATTATTACCATAATGACGTACAGCTATGATGTATGCGTATTTTTTCTGTGTGTTTTATATTCAACAAATATCCGCAAGTTATTCGCTCGGCTGCAGTGTTTCCCTACCTTTGGTCCCGCGAAACATTGCGCGGCGGCCCGCGCGACGCACCTTCAAGACCGAGCAAATTATTTCGCATAGAGCGGTTTATACAGTGTTTGGCGGGGTTTATTACCGTTATTTATTTGTGCATTGAGCGTACGCGGTGTCACTTGTGGCATTATAATCCGTTTAATAATAAACAAATTGCAAAACGCCGGCAAATGGTTCGAAAATCGCCAGAATATTTTACGAGTTTAACCTGCACGTCTATATGAAAGACACTTACGTGTGTTATGAAAACGACGGGGAAAAAAAAAAAATGAAAATACCGACCCGATTAAAATACCTCCCCGGTCTTTCCGGAGATTTCCTGTCGGGAAAATTGCTATAATTGAAAATCAGAGCAAAATTGCCGGTAGAAAATTTGTTCACAGTTAAAGAAAAAATAAAAAAGGTATCATTGTACGACCAATACATTCCTCGCTTCATTCAGAATCTAAAAACGAGATTGAAAATAATAAAACCGTTATTTCCATAAAATGTCTGTACATTCCTACTATTTTTCCCGGTTTTACTCAATTACTAAAGTTGAACGGAAAATCTAAAAAATACTATCTTAAGCGCCAACTACACAAAATTTTGTTTCAAAAACATTCAAAAATTAAAATCATAACGCTGAGAATTTGCCAGTTATTTTTTTTTTTTTTTTTTTGCGTATTTATCTGGATTTTTCTAATATTTACGAAAACTGCATGGACCATCAGAAAGAAATTTTCTCTACTCATCAGTTAAACCAAAAATGAAACAAACAAGAACGTTTTTATTTTTTTTTTTGAGTGTACAAAGATTTTTAGTAGAAATTTGTTCACAGAATAAAAAAAAAATCATTTATCAAACCAATACATTTCTCGCTACGCTCAGAATCTTAAAATAAGTAAAAAAACAAAAAAAGGCCATTAGATAATCGAGATATTCCGCGACCTATTGAAAGTTCTCTCCAAGTGTAGCCCGTAATGTCAAAAAAGTCGGGGACCATTGAGTTATTACGCAGTAGAGTATTTACGGGTAATGACTAGGGACATGTATATCTTCCCCCTTGACCATTTTTTTAGTATATATTATTTATATGATTACCTATTTTTAAATTCAAATTTCTTTATTTCTCAGCTAAATCGGATATTGAATTAACGATTAGCGCGTAAATATTTTTTAAAGTTGTCGTAGTATAAAATTGTGAAGTATATTTTAATGATACTCGTGTAATAAGTACTCGGTGCTTATGTGGGTATGTATGTTATTTATGTTTACGTTTAGATTCCGAGCGTAGCGTTGGTGCTATATTGCTGTTTACTTATTATTATTATTATTTTTTTCTTTTACTAAGTACACAATTTCTACCAGAAGTCTTGTTCTAATTTATCAATTATAACGCCTTATCTGAAAGGAAATTTTATCACTTTGATACCAAAAGGAGGTCATTTTTTTCTTATTTTCCAAGAGGTTTTCATAAAATCTAGAAAAACGGGAAAAACGTATGGATAAACGGACAAATATTTACGGCGCAACGATTTCATGATTTTACATTTGTATAACTCGCGTTTTCTACCAGAAATATTACTTAAATAGAAGTACGACAAAAAACCTTAGCTGTTGAATTTCGCATCTAGTTTCTCGCAGAGAATGTCGTTATTCCGATTTTACAAGTTGTTTTCATAATCATTAGGGAAAATCGGGAAAAAAACGTAGAAATAACGGGAAAATTAACGAAAATAATGATTTTACCACACATTAAAACGTAAATTAAAGAACTTAGTGTATCCTACTTTCCTAACTTCTCACCTACAACAGTAACACATCCATAATAGAGATGGCTCTATTATCAGCACTTTTTTTTTTAAATTTGTTTTCAAAAAAAAAAAAAACATATATATCTTTAATATTTATAGTGCAATTGGGTTACCGAGAACGTTGCTGTAATGCAGTATATTACGTTTTATATTACACTCTTTTATAAAACTAAAAAATGCAACCTTAAGGTAAATATATGATTAAATTTTGTATTTCGTATATATGTATATATAAATATATATATAATCTTTGCTCTTATGCTTATCGTTATTAATTCTTATTTCTATACGTTGAATCAATTAAGTCAAACGAAACTAGAAACTATAATCAAGGTGATCCATTTATCATGAACACCTGTAGAGATTTTATCGGAGGATTTTAAGTGAATTCAATATGTTTTTGTTATTCTTTTGATCGTTATCACGAATCGTTTAAGTTTTATTATTTAAACATTATTTTCAATTTGTTATCCCTCCTACACCTTATAGTATATCTTCAACGAGTATATTAGACTTTTGATTTTCAAATAGAACTCTCCCTCACATTTAACTCAGATTCGAATAGATATAATACGTATTTGTACATTTGCGCAATTGTAAATAACACTTTAATATCGTGTATGAGTTATAACGTTTTTGAGTTTAGACATCGCGGACGAGTTACGCGTTGAAAGGTTACCAATTTATTTCGTATAAAATGGATATGTGGATAATTACACAGCCCTTCCGGTCTAATTTTTTAACTATTACAAACTCATAATAAACCTTAAAGTCAGAATTAACGTGTTTATGCATATATTATATTGACGTTTTTTTTAGAAAAATACGGTAGTGATTCATTATTTAACACTATAATTTTGGTTCAGTATGTTATCTACCTGTTACGGTAATATTTATGGAATTTATTTTCAAATTAATTAAATAGATATAATCCTAAAAACAAAAAAAAAAAACAAAATTAATAAAATGTATGATATTAATATTAAATTTTAGTTCGTAAATTACATATATCACTAAAAGACATTGAAGACACATTGATTCACCGCAAAAGTCATGCTATTATGTGAATCGGCTGTCTATTTATAAAATACAATATGTCAAAATTCACAAATTTTACTGCGGAGCCATAATAGTAATTTGTCTAACACAGGACTATGGTATGGGATATTGAAATTTCAAAGATGAATGCCAGAGTGAATTTAAATATTTCGACCAAAAGTGTGGTAGATCAAAAAATCTACGCAATTCAATTTCGATCAGAACAATATCGAAACATGCAAATTGATAATGCAAAATATGCTGTGTTTTGTGAGGAGGAGTTTCTACATGGAAAACCAAACATATACGAAGCATGATAGATAATAAACAATATCGAAAACATTGTCGTTGAAATAAATGAATTGAAACGGTTCCATAACGATTGACAAAAAAAAAAAAACCAACCAGTAATTGAATTCATTCCTCAATCCTTCGAGAAAAGCCTCGGTTCGGTATGAATAGATCGCCCTGTATATTTACAGTGAACGCATTAAAATATTATAATACACGTTTGACACAAAATTTGCGTATTACAGCAACTCCCTTAATTAAAATTTATTCCTACAGTGGTTTTTTTATTTTTAAATAACACGTATCACTCTTGACTATTTTTTTTTTATCATTATTATTATTCTCTACGGTCACCGCGCTGCTTGCATGTCGGTTGTTAATCAATATGATGTGAAAAAAAATAAATAAATCGCACCTTTATTAAATAATTTTTGTTTCGTAAAATATATAATTTCCCGGGTCCAATCAAAAATGCTAACCACGCAAATACCGTTACATTCGTGTTTTTTTTTTCCCGTTTACAGTGTTACACGAATATAATATGATTGATATATTGTGTTTTACACCCGTATATATACGCACATTATATTATATATTATTTATGTATAATTAAAAATGCCGATACAGTGGAAAAAAAAAGAACTTGAAAAACGGGTACCGAATAAAGTATACTTATATTTTGAATTATTAAAAAAAAAAAAAAAAAAAAAAAACAAATTATACGTTTATATTTTATACGTACCTACTTGTGTTTTATAATATATTCGTCAAAATTACTTCAGTTTTTTTGTTTTTCATTTTATTTATAATACGTAATAAATCATAATAAATTTATTGAAATATACGTCCTGCGGTGTTTTATTATGATAAAAATATTATTATAATCGACGTCGGTTGATAAATTAAACTGATAATGATAACGCCGCTTTTGTTTTGGAGGCCCGAAATTGTATTCCGCGGTCTTTTATGTATTTATTATTTTATTATTATTATTATTGTTATTTTTTTACCGACAATTAAGATTTTACGTGTGCGATATATCACGACCGTAAAAAGAACGCCGTAATAATAATTAATGAATTCACGAAATAAAAAAAAATAATAATAATAACAAATAAATAAACAGTTCCAAAATCGATATTGTTCATCCGTGGTGAAACCGCGTAATAATCGGTCCTTTTACTAAGAACCACAAAATCGTATTAAAATATATCACCACCACAATACGATCAAAACACTATATTATAATCCGCAACGCGCAGCGGATATTGACGATTCATAATTATATTATGTTCATTATAATATCACGACACAATATTATTAAACTTCAAAAAAATACTATCGGATAAATTGTCTTGTTTGAGATTCTGAGTGTAACGAAAAACAAATGTCTAAAAAAGATAACGACATACTTCGCACGATGAGTGGGCCACTGTTGTTGGTGAGAAATTAGGAAGGCAGGATGCAGAGGGAATTAATATTTGCTAACAAAACACGATTTTGAGCGGAGTTCGTTTATACATATTTTTTTAAAAGACCGTCATATATTTACGTTTTTAAAATAATAAACTTCGTATACTTTCCCGTTTTTCCTACGTTTTTTTTTTCCATTTATCATGAAAACCTCAGGGAAAATCAAAAAAATTACTTTTTTAATGCACCTTCCCAGTCAGATTTCCTTTCAGAAAAAATGGTGTACTAGAAAACCGGAGCATAATTGCTAGTAGGAAAATTAGAAAGTCCGCAGAAAAAAAATAAAAATCAACATCACTGAAAAACATTCCACGCTCCATCCGAAATCTATAATAATTAACACATAGGTGGCATGTTTAGTGTTTATACACAGATTTGACAAGAAATATTTCATAAAGTATGACCAATGAAACAGTTAAGTTTAACTGTAAAAGTTATCGAGATAGCGGCATCAGCGGGTAGTGGATTCCTTTATATTATATTTTAATACATTTTTTACACATTTTGTAAAGTTACTTCACTCTGAAATTAGAACGATTGCAATAATTGGTTATCATTTATCAATATAAGGGACTATCTTTTCTTTCTTTATATCTTACCCATATTTAATGTTTACTGGAGTCGTAATCAATACATTAAATTTATTCTACTCATTCGTTTATATTATTCAAATACAAATTTGTTTTACCAGGGACTTCTTGATTCCCCCTCCCTAAAACCAATTTTCCTTACAGCTCACCCCGAAAATAGTTTCTATATAGGCATTCGTATGGAATATCAGTATTTTTAATATTATACCTATTTTATCCTTACTCCGTAACTTACACGCACTAAAAAGTAACGAAAAATTGTTTAGAAAAAAAAAAACCTATATATTTGTATGTTTTCCGTTTCCTATATGATTTCGTCAGAGAACAGAGATGCGTAGAACACGTACCGAAAACACTCATCTCAGATCCAAATCCATAAAATAATATTTACTGCATAATACAATATTGCACGCACTTATACTCGTATATATTTTTTCCCTCTTTTTTTACCGAATACCTCATATAATTTTATATACAATATTCAATCTTCGTCCAAATATATACTGTACTTTATAAATTATGATTCCGAAATATACTACGACCATAGGCCATCCGATATTATTATTTTTAAATGCAAATGTACATTATATATTATGCAAATGTATCTTATTGAGATCGATTTTAGATGTAAAGGCCGATGGGCCCCACTGCTTAGGGTAATAAAATAATACGAAATATACGTACGTACGTCCTAAACGCGACTAGAAATATAATAAAGTGTAATGAAAATGTCTCGAAAAAGGTTCACTTCGGAAATTCGTTAGACACGCACCAACGCTGCCCACCGTAGCGGCAAATGCAGCAACCACCAAATTGACGAAAAATGGATTTACATTACGGTCATGATGATTTTAATTTACTGTGTAAAAGTGTCATTTAGTATTTCAAAAATTGTTATTAATATTATTGTAGCTATACATTTCTTTTCTGTAGTTTTTAAGCACCTATTCGAAGATTACTAGAATGAATCGCGGTAAATAACAAAAACTAGACCAAAACTTAGTAGGTTGATGTTTTGTTACTGGTAATAAAACCGATACTGCATTTAAAGTACCTAGTAGGGATTAAATTTAAATGCAATCGATGTCACTGTATACCAACTGCAGTGTCTGCTACAATTTAAACTGGTATTTTTCATGTTTTAGTGATTTAAACGTGTTTTTACGTGAAAATCGGATATAAAATTTAAACGTATTTAATTTTATTATGAAATATACCAAACAATTTTAAATGTCAATTTTGCGAAAATTAAATTTATTTATTTTTTTCAACTTTATACGTTCTCTGTTTTTTAAAATAAAATGTACACAAGTACCTAAAAAGAATTTGTTATAAAACGTGAACGAAATGTTTAAATCGACAATTGAATACAACTCTATTCGTCGTCGTTTTCTTATAAACTATGTATTCCCTATCGGGAAAAAATAGTTTCTCGGCTTGTTTTCCGAATTGCGTTGCATACATTTAAAATACATCATTCTCACTTTTTTTCGAAATTCGCTATAAAACTTTTTCTTTAAAAACAATATATCTGTTCGCACAAACCATACTCACACATACAATAGGCATCGATTAGATATTTTGTATTTTTTAACAATTTAATTGATGAACAGTTATCACATATGATTTTAAATTTGAGCTGTACATTAATTTTTGATTTTTGCTTTTCCGTTCGATTAGAAACCCACATGAATGATAGCACTGAAATTTCCAAATACGTCCCATATTAAAATGGCTGAGATTCGAACAATTTTGTGAAATTCGAGCTGTATAAAATAAATGTTCGAAAATTTGCAGGTAACCAACTTTTTAGTAACGAAACACTAACGTACAGAGAATGGGCTTAATTTATTATAATTAATTTAACGCTATGGGATGTAAAACGATTTAGTTTATAATTTAATTGAAAGTGACGATAAATCATTGCGATCTAAAAAGAACAATTCAGAGCGGTCATCACGTTATATAATATAGCGCATTAATCGTGTCTTTTCCTTACTTTCGTAGTAACCCAAAAATATCAACGAAAATAAAACCAACGTATTGGCATTTATTGTCAGTTTTAAAAACCGCGTTTAATTTTGGCGTGATTTTCGGTACGAAACAAATTGCCGTCGGGTGAAAAATCTGTATATTTGAATAGTAAATACGGAGTGAACGAAATCGGACGGTTTTCGCTAAACGAACAGAAAACAATGGCTTAGTAAAACGAATGGCTTCTCTGTGCTATTACACTCGGAATTTAAAAGCCTAAAAAAAAAAAAAAAAAAAACACTACCTACCGAACAACAACACTACAAAACCTCCTTTTTGCGGGCCCGTCAACCGTTTGATAATATCGCAAGGCCGACGCGGCGGGCTTCAATTATTATTTCGCGGCGCGGGCAATTAATAATTTTAAACCGTTCCGAGCGATAAGAGTTTAAGAATAATAATCCCGACAGCTACTGGTATTATAATATTATACAATACGGCCGTTACGGAGGCGTTTGAAACTTTTTAAGTGCGACGTTTAATGCACTTTTTTAATAACGCATATTATACCTGCTGCCGGTGCCGTTTAAAACGGCCGCGCGCGTAATTGACCGTTTTTTAAGTGTCCCGCGTCCTTTATTATTGTCGTGATGAAAAATACGCGCATCTCGCCCGGTGCGCGGTTGTACGAGGCGCATAACAATTTTTTTTTTTTATTTTTCGTAAATAAAACAATAATAGACTGTCTCCCTTCGTTTGTCCTGTCGTACCGCAACCGACCGACGCTCGAATCGCTGTAAAAAAAAAAAAAAACCCGACAGCATATAGTAGTGCGGAGTTTGTTTCAGCCCGTTTAAACGGATGTACAGTAAAGACGTAGCGTAAGTTTTCCGGTCCTTAAACTACGGTTCGTGCAATTTATCGTTCGGCAAATTGGTAGCCGACGGACGGCGTATGTCAATTTACAATTTCGGCCTTTTTCGTAGCAAAGGTGTTTTTTTTTTTTTTTTGTAAAACTGTATAAAAATGCATAAATTAAAGCATTACACTGCACTAACGGAAACTGAGACCATTTCACGTCGCTGTTGACAGATTTGCATTTTATATTCCGATGTGACAATAAGGGAAAGCGTTAGGTCGATCGAACGTTTCGGATGGCGTAATCGACGCCCGGTTAATAAATTTGAAGATTAAATTTTTAAAAAAATACCCCCCGATTTCCGTTATCATAATAATATAATGGTGAACACGTAGCGGTCCGTGTTTCCCGGCGCGCCAATTATTGTTTAATGGCATTTTGTTTTATTTCTTTTTTAAACGCATTAAACCCTATTGAATTATCCGTTATCCGTTAAAACTGAACGAGTATTGATATTTAGTACGTTCACGTAGATTTTGTTTGGATTTTTAACGAAACTAGGTATATAACATTATCAGTTTTAATGTAACGAGTGCCGTTTATTCGGCTTGTGAACAGATTTTCGATCAGAATACCCGCGTCGGTCATCAATTCCAAAGGTGTTACCACTTAAAGGTGACCGGCCGCGATTACGTTAAGTCTATTACGCATTCTCCTTGTACTTTGTGTAATAACGGGAGAAACCCCCCGGGGAAAAAAAACATCCGGAAAACGGGAATATCTACGCAATAACGGTTTCTGGTAATTTCGATTTTGGTTTTTTACAACACTCGACACAAATTTTTCAATTACGCGACCGCCCGACATATACTCATCGATACGATATCAGCTCGTGTTTTCTATTCCAGCTCGTCTTTCACGTACATTATTTTTGTTTTTTACACGGTAATATGCGTATTTGGGATGACTGCACAATAATATCATCATTGACGACTATACGTATACCTATTTAAAATGTCGTATATTGTTACACGACATTTTGGCGCAATAAAAAACACTTGGAACATTATTATACGTTATATTATGTTTCGCGAATTCCCGAGAAAGACGTTATTGTACGCGCATATAATATATACTCCGGTCACAATATCAAAGACTGATGCGTTTCGACAGCCGGAAAATTCACTACGAATTGTCCGTTAAACACTCGAGATATTTAAGATAAAAGATATCGACTTTTTTTTTATTTTGCGCGAGCATTTAAGGAAAAAAATACCCATCTCCGAATTATTACTTAGGTATTTTATTTTTGCGTCCTTATTTTCGGGCGTGAAACGACTGCCTTTTTCATCAAACGCCAGTTTTTTGATTTGGATAAATTTCGGTGTTGAAATTTTCGATTTTCAAAGAAACTTATTCAAATTCCGGGTATAGGGGTAGAACAGTGGATCGTCGTTTGTGCGGCGGAACCCTAAATCATACGATATTTAAAAATTTTCGAAAATAATCAAACATTATTACGATTGGCACTTGGTTATTATTTCCCCCGCTTGTATTTAATATTGCATTCTCGTTTAAAAGTCAAAAAGCGCGGTCCATTTTTATATCGTTATTATTTTTACACGGCGGGTTTTCTTCTTACCTATACGATACTCCGTATACACATCGAAATTTATATATATACGTACAGAAACACTAGGACGACATCGTCGTGTTCACGGAGATTCGAATATTCTTCAAAAATCTGTCTTTTTTTTTTCTCTCTCTTTCTTCTCCTTTCCTCTTCGCCAAATTCACTTTTGCAATCTATTATTTTGACAGGTCCCGTACTGCGTACCTGCGTCCTACCTACTCTTTTTTGTTTCCGCCCCTCACCCCGTCCAATCGCGTCCTCGGATAGTGTTTTTCCGCGCCGGTCCTCGTATCGGTACGTGTCCGCTATCCCCCGCACGCGTCCTCCGTGACGCCCGGCGTCCCGTCATCACAAGAGCACCGCGTCACTCGGCGGGCCGGCTCGCGGACACGTGATTTTCGGATAGGAACGCAAAATATTGTCACGTGTCCGAACGCAGACGGACACGCAGATCGGCGCGCGATAACAATACGGGTGCGATACGCGCGCGTTGTCCGTTCGACAGTATTGCGCGCGCGCGTTATTGTGCACATTTTCCCGCGCGTTATTGCGTGTGCGTGGGAATAACCGTCCGTGCGGGATTTACGCCGCTGCGCGTTACACAAGAAGACGCGAGCGGCGCACCGCCGGCCGTGCGCCAGCCAAAGGCGGCGCCTCCTCCGCGTTGCGCGCAACAATAGCTGACGGACGGGAAATAACAATGCCGTTTTGAAGTTTTCGTTTTCGTTTTTTTTTTTTTCCATTATTTCGCGAAATAAATTATTTGTTACTCGATTAGAGTCGCGCCGTCCGTGCGCGTGCGGTTTCGTATTTTATTTATCTTGTTTTCGATCTATCGATTTTTTTTTTTTTTTTCAAACCTAACGTTTTCCTCCGCCGCATAATACGATTGTTTCGTGTTTACCGAAAATAATAATAAAAAAAATGCATTGTTATTACGAAATCCGAGTGGGGGCCGGTAAAAAATCGCGCCGGTACTGGCTGCGGGAAATCGCTACTTTCGACGTGCACTATCGCTACGTTTATAAAACAAACATAAAACATAGTTCCTAACAACGATGGCGGTTTTGACGATTCAAAAAAAAAAAAAAACAAGGAATTTGTTCGATACTTTCTATAATTTGTTTACGTTTGGCGTTTCAAATATGTGAAAAAGAAACTGCATGACCGTTAATCGATCACACGGTTTATTTTACTACCGGAATAAAAACGACATCACGGAAAATGTACGAAATGTAGACTTTATAGTAAACATATATTATGGCAACTTTTTCGCTCCAATTTACAAATACAGCAATTTTTCCGACAAGAAATCTGACTGGGACGGTACTGAAGGCGGGTCGTGTTCTGATTAGACCAGGAATTTTCCCAATAAGTGGGAATACCCGTGAAAAAGGTACAACGTTACGCAAATAATATTATTAAAAAACACGTTTAATTCGGATGTTATCGCGGGCAAAGCAACACTGCCAACCGAACTCTGCGCGGAATCCTTTTTTTTCGTTTGCGATGGCGATTAATCGTCGCGTACCTAATATACCTAATCTTTTTTTTTACATATACACATTACGTTCCAAACTTCTCACCTACAACGGAGCTCACTCACGTGCGAAGTATATCAGTCTTTCTTTTCTTTTTTTTTTTTTCAACTATTTTAGCATATTTAATCAATTCGTATTCGTTTTTAACGGATTCTCTCTCAGCAAACAATAATTGAAACCGAAACCCGCAGTTTCAATTGTATATAGCGTTAAAATTTAAAATTTAAAACATATACATAATTAAACGATACGTTACAATACGTATCGTGTCATTCGTTTATTGTCGAATTGTAGGTATTCAAATTGAAATGTGATAACATGATAATTATCGAGACACTGGTGATTTTTATCTTATCGGAGTAGAACGCGATTGTCGTTTTTTTTTCTTTCGCTATACTACAAGTTCAAGTATTTTTCGTCATCTACCGTGTCTATAACGTACATTTCTTCCACGCGCATATTTTCCCGATTTTCGCACCAATCGCCACTCCACATTCTTGATAATAACAACAACGATGACATTATCGGGTAGTCGTTATTAATGCCGATACGCGATTTCGACGGTCGGGTTCTCGGTTTCGGCGTGGGTGATTTCGGCGACCTTCCCCCTCCGCCGACCGGGCCACGGCACGCCGTCTTCCGCGCTCGCGCCGGTCCGGTAAACGGCGCGCGATACGATGCCCGGGGGCCGTGTCGCGGCGGGTCCCCGCGTATTTGTAATCGGCGCGCGCGGTTATCGCCGTCCGTTAACGGCCTCCGCGCGCAATAAAACCGCGAGACAATAACGCCGGGGGCGATGACAATGCGTCAAAAAATATCGCCGGGCACTGGTCGCGGCCGCGGGTCAGGCCGGGCGCGGACGCCCCGCGATATTTCCGCGCGTGCCGACACGGCAATCCCCGGCGGCGCTACGGACCGAGCGTATTTATTGCGCTTCGCGGGTGCCGCCGCGGTCCAGACGTTCACCCACGGCTTGTTTATTACCCGCCGCCGAGGAACTTTCTCCGCTGTACACGGAGCGTGACATACCGTCGTCGTTGTTATTAACAGCGAGGGCGGACGAAAAAAAGTCACCGGGATTCATTCGGGTCTAGAGCGGCCGAATAACAAGTTTATTGTTTGTTCGCGAAAAAAAAAAAAAAAAAAAAAAACGTCCCAGGATAATGGAAACACCCGTAATCAACGATAAACCGTTTCCAATGGAAAAACGACTCTGAGCGGAGTTCAGTTGATAGTGATGCTTTGTCAACAATTATATGCATACGACGTTATAGTAAAATAAGCTCCACATATGTTCTTTAATTGTGTACCGATTTTCCCGGTTTTCCCAAATTTTTTCCCGACTTTTAGAATAGTTGTCAATAGAAAAAAAAAGATCATTGTAAAACCAATACATTCCTCGCTCTCAAAATCTAAAATGAATATTATAAAATATTGACATTTGTAATGAAAAATAAACAATCCTACAATTTGTATGTAGAATGTTTTGTTATAAGAGTACGACTTTAATCCCATCCCCCCCCCCGAAATATTTTTTTGTTAACGCGCCCGATCGAGTGTGTTCAGTTTTAGTACGATCAATTGTAAAGATTAATAATTTATATGTACTATAATAATAGGCAATCTCGGTAATCGTTGGTTATCTATACATTTTGAGCAAAGGGTAGACATCCTCTACTACATTTTTATTTATATGCACACATTTTAAACAAGTTGATTACTTTCATGAGTCTCAAAGGTATTAGAAATTCCGGTATTTTCTGTGAAAACATAAAATCTGTGCATAATAAGGGTCGGGGAGGTGGTTTTACCGCCGAAAGGTACATACACCTTGTGTATACAAAATTACATCCTCTTGACTTCATTTGGGAAATATTAAAAAACTAAAAAAAAATCTTCCTCCCTTCTCAACATGGCGTAGTTCAATCAAAATTTTATCACTTCAATTCGTGCATAAAAAAAAAAAACTCATATTATGCTCTTTTGATCTAGAAGAAGAGTGTAATACACCCTTTTTCGAGGAAAATTCGATAAACACGCAAAATTAAGGAAATAAAAGAATTTAGAAAAAAAAAAAAAAAACTACGACTGCAAGAATCGATAATCTTATTTTCTGTTTACACCTTGCGGCTATTAATCCCATTTAATCGAAGTGTTGTAATCAATTCGAAAAACGTTTGCTCCATGTTCTGTACTAGAGAACGTAGACACGATAAGAGAGTAACCAGTATATTGGACGAGCCGCTGTACATTTTCTACTGGTTGGCCGTATTGTCAGAATGACACTGGAAGCCATTTATCGTCCAAATAAAAAAGCCAAATAATAATATTTTTAAATAAGATAAATGTATTTATGTGCGTATGCGTGTATATCATAACCGTGTGTTATGCAAATCGTTTTATAAGAATTCAATTTCAAACGTAAACAAACGATTTGTAAAAGTTTTAACGAAAAACGGTCGCGTTTTAATCAGTTGGCCGTTATCTTATATTCCGTAGTTAATATCCGAGTGACCGTAGATAAAAGAAGAACACAACGACGGGAACATATTTTGTACGTTTTCCGTCAACCTTATCACTCGAAATCGGATAGGTTTGTGTGGGCGCAATAGTAACGGTGTTATCATTTTCTGATTTACATGCATATTCCCGCGCGGTTGTGCGGCACTGTAACGTGTAATTTTTACCCGCCCGAACTATTTTGCGCATCCCCCGGTGAACATTTCCCCGGGTTATTGTGTTATTTATATCTGATCAACTCCGGTATAATTTTAGACCAAAAAACGACGGGAAAAGGGGGGAGGGATCGTATAAATGCACAGGCGCGACACCGGAACATTACCGCGACCGGTCACGCGTCACCTGCACACGTACAATGATAATCTATACGCGGCGTCGCTCTGGGCAAACAACAGCCTTTTAACCGCCGCCGTCGTCGTGCCGTATCCAATTAAAACCGACCATCGTCGTTTTTTTATAACATTAATTAATCGTCCGACTGATGTCCCGACCACACGTGTAGTGGATCCTAGAAGTTAACGCGTAAAAGTCGTCCGTATGGGATAGAGTGTCGGAGTAATAGTTGGCGAGGGCGACGACTGCTGGTGGTTAGTATATCGGCACCTACTGTAGTGATGTAGTGGATTGATGGAAATTTTCCTCTGGACGGGAAAACGTTTGCATAAATTTCGCGAATGAGAAAAAGTGAATTTCGCATATTTACGGGGGAAATTTTAACAACATTTGTCAAATTGTATACACGCACAATTGCAAATCCTACAGTCCAACCTAATCCAACAAGGTTTAGAGTCCAGGAAGTATCTTTATTACTAATGAATAATGAAATGTGTTGGTTGATAAAATTGATAAGCATTTCAATTTTAAAATTATATCCCGTAGTAATAATAGTGTAATAGTGACTGTAAATTTATTGGTAGGGGATTTCGGATTATAAGGGAAATTTTGTTATTATTGTCAGAACAATTGTTAACTCTTATCTAGCATCACAAATCATTAGGTACTCGGATTGCACAATAATAATATTAAAAAATTTTAAAAAAAAAAGTGAATACGTGAAGCACGTGTATCGATAAACAGCTATTGTTAACATTGTTGACTGTGCTTATTGGCAATTTTTTACATTTGAATGTATGATTTTCTTGTTTTTGTAAAATACTACCGCTAAACAAAGAATGAATCCACATAAATTTAAGTACAATACGCGAAACAATCGAATAGTTTTTATTTTTTATGAAAAACGTAAAAAAAAAAAAAACCCGTCTCAGTAAAACTATTATAATCTCTTTTTGACTGTAGATATACTCAGAATATACAATATTTAGTATATAGTGTGTCTATTATTATTGTGGGTTTTTTTAAATAAATCTTTCGGACGGTGTATACGTTTTCTAATAATAATTGGTTGAGACATTGCTGTGCGGTATACCAGACTAACATATGTACGAAAAAGTGTGTATTCGCATAACTCGTATTGGTTTTACTGGGAAGAGGGGAGTTTAAAACCCTTAATAAAGTAATAATATGATTTATGTACGGCGAACCGGCATGATCGATACGTGACGATTCCGGTGTGCTCGCGGGGGCGTGTTTTAAAGCCATTAACCGTGAAGCGATTCCGCAATGTCACCGAGAAAGACGCGCTTCGTGTGCAACAAAAACAAATGCGTGTATTAAAAAACAAACGAAACGCACAATCGGTGGTTGCCTCCCCGTCCCCCCTCCCACGATCACGTCACTCGTCCAATGAGCTTGGCGTTGTTTGAATTTTTATTTATCGCGCGGCGGCGTTTGGGTTCATTTTATATAGGTACCTTTATTATAATATCGGTTCATGCGAACGGATTGTTATTATGTTTTGTACGGCATATTGTTTTTCGTCTGTTCTATTTTTAACGTAAAATCAAATGAATAACCTCCGTTCGATCATAAAGCGCGCACTGCAAACAACCTCTTAAAATCGAACGATAAAGTATACGGTTTATGGGATGTTTTGCGCTTTACGTACATTTCATCACGCGCTTCGGGTTTATATTTCGAGTTTGCGAATCGGCGTATATTGTATTTCCGGCATAATATTATAGTCGATGCGCAAACTTCGTTACAGTCACGCAGCTGTAGGTGATAGTGATTGTTATATTTTATACAGGGTGATCGACTTACCGCGAAAAAGCGATTTTTTTTTTGATTTTTTAAAAGATTTCGAGTGAATCGGATTTATGTTTTTTTTTTTTTTTACCCCTACTACTCATACCCGAAACGATTATTAACTTTGAGTCATTTGCATCGGTTACACCGTTATTCGAGTTATAAGAGTTTTATACTTAGACCGGAGGAGTAAAGGGAGAAATAATACATTTCATATAAATGTTTAGATAGTAAATTCATAACTCTTCTCTACGGCCAGCCAATAAGTTAAAAAAAAACAAAAAACAAATCCGACGATGTTTGACAATTTTAATTGGATTATATAAAACGCGGCAATGCACATCGTACTTTTTAAGTGTAAGACATTTCTCAATAATTCATCCTCTTATGATTTTTTTTTTCCTTCCCGGAAAATACATTTTAAGTTGGTCAAAATAGTTCAAATTATTCGCGTTGGACACTTGAAAAGATTGAAAAAGTGAACTTACTTAATACAAAACGTAAAGGTTCGGCAGTTTTTCGATATTCCAATTTTATCGCAAATACGGCTTTAACGATATAGGTATACGGATCCCAATTCACTCTAATAATAAATCCAACGGCATAAACTCGGTCCGGCAGAACGGAAATTCGCTTGCGCTGGAAAGACGGCGCCTGCACCGTGCGGTTATCACGTCCTATTTGTATCAATACTATAGTAAGATAACGCATTATTGTCAATAACATCGGGTCAGCCCGAACATCATAATATTATTCAATGGTGTGAATAATATTACCGACATATCGATTGGTATTCGTGTAATGTTGAACGTGCGTTACAGAGTAATAGTTGTTCAATATTCAAAATTCGACGGCAGTATGGTAATAAAAAAAAAAAAAAAAAAACCGGCATGACGTTTTCGGTGAATATGTGCCGGTTTAAATGTGTCGATTCCTCCGCCACACGTATAAGAATCGTAATATAATCTAAACATTTTGCGTTGTGATACACAGTTGTACGGTTTGCTAATATCCGGACGTCCATAAATATCTCGTACAACATTATTCGCAGTGGTTTAACGGCAATAACCGCTGATCGTAAATTGTCGAGATATCAAATCCGGCACAGTAGCGACGCGAATGAGCACGCGGCTACGAAGCGGCCGCAGCGGGTGAGTGTACGTGAGACACTCGTTTTTTTTTTTTTCTTCGGGTTTCACGCACAGCAGTAAACGATCTGTTTACCCGATACTTCCTCACTGCGGTCAATGCGTGACACTTACGAGCAGTGTCGCCAATAACATCGTTTTCGCGCGAGACCAGTAGATTTTCTATACTGACCGCCGTCACCACAATCGCCGCCGACACGTGCACGAACAAATCAATCATAGGTCATTATTGCAGGTAGTTGTTAATTCAAACTTGTTGTTCTACTATGATTCTGCAGTAATTTGGCCCGTCCATCAATTTCGGCCGGAGCACGGGTCTCCAAGAACAGTCATCGTCATTATTCAAGAGGATGTCGGCGCACTATTTGTTTTCCATCTCTGACCCGCGAGCCACATTTTCGCAAATTTGCGTCCAGTAAAACCGAACTCGTGTTGTTTCATATTTGTGCGCTATTGAGTGTATTAATAAATTTTAAGTTAAGAACTTCGAGGCTTTTCACGATATTTTTTAATTTTAAAACGAGATATTGTGCGAATTTTTTGAATTGTAATATCTTACAAACCCGCATAAAGATTTAAATATCGTAAAAAAGACACCGTGAAAACACGGCTAACGCAATGAACTCATTGTTTGGTAGTAAATCGATTTAGTCTAATACTCCACCTCACAACACAAGTTTGTTCGGTTAAGCGCAATTTTTTTATTTTGCACATGGGTGCACATATCGCTCAAACATGTGCAGGGACGTCTGTAGTCTTATTAGCAGTCGGTTGTCATGTGGTCTTTTACTGCTTTATCTAAATTGTCAATGGAAAAAGGAACTGCACACGTCATACATCAATTAATTATTATTAAACGAATTATACTAATGGAATTAATACCATTAACTATTAAGACGTAATTGTAACTTAAAATTCAATTGATCCGTCTATACCTGCATAATTTATACCTACGATTAGAGCCCAAATTTAAATGCACTAATAACTAGTGCTGAGCAATACGCTGACCAATCCGAAATCCGGAATTTCAATTTCAAATTTTGGATTCTTAGATCCAACCCGTTTTTCTAAATTTTGAATCCAATCCGGCTGCACTGAGTTTCGGGTATTTTTTCATTATTATCTGCAATTTTTTTACAGATTCTATACAACACAAATAATATATGCGATCTCGGCTCTATCGATAATCGACTAAATTCGTGATTTAACCCCTTGAAACAAATATGCCAGGGTTTTCGGTTTTTTCACAATTCCTCAACTTATAATCGTCTAGAAAGATGACACTAGGTAATTTGTATACAACGAATTCAATTCGCAATGCACATTCTGTGGATAGTTAAAGAATTTCGGAAATAGATTTGGATAAGAAAAAAAAATTGTAAATAAAACAATAATTGGTATTAAACATTTTTTAATCCGGATTGATATTAACGGTTTTTAACTTTTTAATTAACATTTCGAAATACTATGAAAATAACAAAAATCGTAAATGTACGAAATATCAGTATCGACTGTGTCGCGAAACGTCTCCGTTCCGCGAAACGAATTGTTTACCGGCGGGATAAGTGCCGTCCAAGATAAACGGCCGGTAACGAAATGCACTATGCGTCCCGCGGCCCACTGCCCGCACGCGTACGAGTATTACGACGCTCGCGGACCGCGGAAATTCGCGAACGATCGTGACAATAATTAATAGCGGCGCGCGTATCGTTTTAAACATTTTGTTAATGGCAGGCAGACAGACGCGCGGGGGCGGGCGGCGTAAACTATAAACGCGCGCCGCTGCCCCGGCATACAGGGCACGCGCAAAAGTTTGACGGCCCGAAACCCTCGCGGACGGTTCCGCCGGGCGTCGCGCGAGTGCGCGTGCAGGTAGAAACGCCACAAACACGACGGCGGCGACGCGGCCGTGCATCCGTCCCGTGCGCGAAATACGGGCGCGAACACGTACGCGGGACAACGCGAACGGCCGATCGGTCCGTAAAATATTACGTCCGCGGAATTCGAAACGAAACGTTAAACGACAAAAGTTTCCCGCGTAAACTCATTAAACATCAAACAACCGGCGACGGAGTCGCGCGTCGCGCGCCGCGGTCCCCGCCGGACAATATTTCAAAATTAACAAAGACAACGGCGGCGGCGGCGGCGGCGGCGGCGGCGAACTGTAGGCGGAAGTTATTATTATTTCGACGAGTGGAATTAATTTGCGAAATATTTCGCTACCGAATAATAAAACACACGGGTCGCGCGTGTTACTGCACGGTAGCGCGACAATACGCCGACACGTGTTACACCACCCGGCAGCTGTATACAGGGCGATTCCGTTCGGGGATATCGCGGCGGTAGAACTGGGCAAGCGCTTTAAGGGGGTAATTTTTTGGTTTTCCCAATAAATGAGAAAAACGTAGGAGAAACGATAAAAATGTGTGCGATATTACACGAATGTTATTAAAGAAAGTGTATAATGCGTACGTTTATTGTCCTACCATAATATACACATATGACAAAGCGACATAATATCAACCGAATTACGTTCGGAATTGGTTTTCCGTTATCAATGGTTAATCGGTATAAATTAAATTGCCTATAACATCCCACATAACCCATCCCCGTTATCTTATCGGAGAAATTCGACTAACTCGACGGTAAAATATCAAGTGAATTTATGTCCGAATGGAACGAGGCTTTTTTAAATTTTTTTTTTTTTTTTATAGGAGGATTCCGCCGGAATTTCGGTGGTGCGATTTATTTTTATATTGATATTGAGGCGAGTAGAAGAGCTTCTGTACATTATAATAAAATGGAAGATAAATGGCAAAGAGATAGAGGACGACCGAAAACATCTTACATCAAAAAGACGATATCCGATGCACGTCTAACAGATTAACTAGATGGTGATAGAGACAAGCGGAGATACTATGGAAACCACAAAACCAACATTAGAGTTGACCGTTAAAAAAAACAATTCCAAAATAAGATCTATTCTGAGATTCACCCGTTGAGTACCGTTCGTAGAGTTGGCCATTTGTTTCCGGAACATCATTATGCATATAAGTTTATTCTTTTTTTCCCTTCCGATTTCCGAACTAAACGAGCTCACACTCGGGAATCGGGATTAGTTTTTAGACGGACACATGCGTTGATTGTTAATCGAATATTTTATTTTTATTATAAAAAAATTAAATTATTACCTAATAACGGATAGTTTTATGTAGAGGATATTGTAACGATACGCAATGTGGAAATACTGGGTTTATTTTTATTTTGAAGAGATTATATCAAATTAAAAATCACTGCTATACATACCGCGTTTTGTGAATTATATTGAAAAGCACTGCGACAAAAAGTCGTCAGTTACTTGGAATCGTAGTAATAAATGTACATTTTTCGAGTGCGTAAGTTTTTTAATTATCGCGTATTATGCATTGGAGTATATCAAACACACTAATTAATATTAATATTAATTTAACTTTTATAAAACATCATTTGATTAAAAAATTATTACATCGACGACTGAAAACTTTTCGAAATAATTAATTATATTAAATAACACACCCATCTACTTGTTGAAGAAATGATTTTGTTTCGTAATCGTTAATTTCGATACACTTTAGATTACGACCGGTTAAACGGATTTCCGCGGGAAGAATATTTTTCGTTTTACGATCGTGTTTTTAATAGTTTTATTATTCGGAAAACAAATGTTTAGGGCTGTTGTGTTCAATTAGGGGAGAGTTTGGTAGAAATACGGAAAACCTAAGGGAAACTTGTTTATATCTTTTAAAATATTGAACTAAAACACACGTTTCCCCGTTCTTAATTCCCACCAATCGATAACCGTTTTTTGTTTTTTTTTTTTTTCTATTCTTTTCTATACGAATTTTTTTTTTCCCCGAATTTTTCCTGTGATTATTTTCTGACCTTAAAAATCATAATATTAAGCTTTTTCGAGAGAGCTTATCAAGGGTGTTTTTATTTTTTTATTTTTTTTTTTTTGTTAATTTTAAGCCCTATCAGTCGCAAACCCGATTATAAGAAATGCCAGTTTGTTTTCGCAAAAGTTAACTGATAAACCGTTTTTGGGCGCGGGTATTAATTAACGGTATAAACCGTAAAGCTTATGACGATAATAACTATTAAAAGATAATCATTTCTGTACGATCCGTATAAGTGTGTATAGTGTGTATTTATAGAGTATTATAATTCTAACGAACAGATAGGGTAACGAAGAGGCGGTATTAAAAGTGTACGACGATCGTTAGGCATTATAATACGTCGTAATATTATTTAAATGGCGCGCAGTTATAAAATAAGTACGTTCGGAATAAACGCGAGTGTACGCGCTCGCGTCTTTATTATGACGTTAAATTTTAATTCTTGACGTTCCGCGTCCTCGGAACGGGACGGCCTCAAACGAAAATTTGGCTCTTTCGGCGTATCGGTTGACCGGCAAAATCTTGATAATTTTCTCCACGTAACGGTATTTTTAGACGGTTGGGTACGGTCCGCGATCGTGATATTCGGAATCGTGGCTTGCAGTTCGTGTAAACCAGTGGTTCCCAACTTTTGTTTTTTTACGCCCGCTTTGTAGCTATTTAAAAATCGCTCGCCTCTTTTCACCTTTTAACAAACATGACGGGCAAAGACAAACAAATATCAAGGTGTTGATGAGCAAACAAATCTTATCAAAAATGTCAACTGCCCTCCGTCATCCCTACCCAATCGATACCCGATCACCGACCATTATTAAATATATACAATATTTATTCCCTACATTTTTAATACAAATAATTTAATAAATACATATTTTACTTCTTGATGACTGCTTGCACCTCCCCAGCAACGTGTACAAGCCTCCCCCCTTTTCGAAAACACTGGTGTAAACAGACAACTCGTCCTTCGCGATTGTAGTATTATCGCTCACGAACTTGCCACGACTGGTTCGTACAATATCCAACCATGTTGGATATTTCAGTCGTAAAAACTCATTCGTGTAATGTGGTACCGATTATTTTACATAAATTTATTATTTAAATTTGACGTATATTTTATGTAATTAAATGACTATTTATTTTTAAAATATAATTACATTAAATTATCAATTATTACATATAATACAAGATAAAAATTACGTGCAAATAAATGACGAACGAACAATGAAGTGCATTCACGATATTCAGTTCATAAGAAATAAACGTGGAACCGTCGTTATTTTTCCGCATTTGGATCCATTGTCTTATACCCGCCATCTATTACTATTACTATCCATACTATCTTTTTTTCAATTTCTATTTATCATTTTTCTACGGTTAATCGTTGTTTCAATTGTTTAGCCAACACTGCACCAGACAAAATAGCACATGTTTCAACGACTAGCGACTCCGTCTTACTAAACGAAAATCGTGTTCACGTGTCAACACCTTCACGATTCGTGTGACCCTTTTTGAAACCACGCTCGTGAGCAACAATTAACACTATCGTGAAATACGATCGTAGCACGCGTCTAATTTAAACTCAGCTACTTTTAAAATTATTATTGGTCACTGCAGTGTTCCGCAGGTATTGAATATCGCATTTTTTTTTTTCACTATAACTCAATCATGATACTACTGTGCTCTTAAATATCGATGAACTGATTTGTGATAAATCGTATTTTAGTAACATTCTAAAAACTTTCGTATAATATTAACATTCGTGTCTGTATACGGTATTTTTTTTTTTAATTTTTCCGTTTTTGCCGATTTTTTGTCAATATTTTTTTAAGTAAAATAAAACGCTACCAAAATCAAAATAATATGGCAGTGTTCCATTGGAATGTAAAACTAAAAACTATCGCAACTATAAATCCACACAAATGGATAATATCGCGTAATATTGCTTTCCGTACAATTTCAAAGTAAATAAAACGAAAACAATTTAATATTTAAAATTTCGAATTAGTTTTTCACAAAATAATGATTTTCATGCCCTGACGATATTGTTTTCAAGGGCGCAATTTACCATTTTAAATTTATCAAATTTGGATAAAAGAAAAACATAATTTGTGTTTAATACGATTGTAAGTAGTACAAAAAAAATAATAATGTAGCGTCTTTTCCGAAAAAAATTGTTATCAAGTCGTTACGTAGGGGGATCTTCATGTACGTGTTTTCGTATTACGTATACAAACATTAAAATATTATCGATGACGTGTTTTTAAAGAGATTATCATCGTAGAAAACAATGGCGAAATAAACAAGTCCGATAAAGTTTATAACCGTCTGAATCGTGACCATGGGATTACTATATGGGACAGTTGATTGCACTCGTAAAACTATACGAATCGAGATCCAGCGACTCCAGCGTTTCATTTCGCCGTTCTATATTATCGTTAAATAAAATAAAATCAGTGGAAAATGATACAACAGTTTTTACTCGAACGGTCGAATACACATTTATTTTATTTTATTACTCGTATCAGGTATCACAATACCGTGGGATACAAGTGGGAAAACCCGTCGTACCTCGGGCGCAGTTTGAATATTTATCCACTGGATGGTGTATTTAATATTAATATATAATTTATACAAACCGTAGAATCTACAGTCCAATATTATTGAAGGTGCTCTCCCTAAAGTACTTACCGTTATGACGTAATAGTTCGATTCGGGAATCAAGCGGCGGCGGCTAGACCCGACATAAATCAACAAATAATAGATTTCGCGTAATAGCGGACGACCGTGGAATTGGATTAAGTATACTAATTATTATGATAATTTGTACGGAATATATAATAAGACAGCATACACATACATCTAGTACGCAGCGCTTAATATTCCGAATTTACAAACGAAAATTTAAAAAAAATCAACGTTCAATAGACGTGATAAGTATCGGTACGCCATTGAGTTTTCAATTCGAATAAATATTCTCAACGACCGTGCCTAATCGATTTTAAAAAGAACAAGCTATTTTCGCAGACAACAATATTATTTTTTTTTCTTATTATTTTACAGGGATTTATACGAAAGTCATTTTTCACGTATAAACAAAACACTTCCCGACGGTTTTTCGGTTAAGTGACTTGTGGAATATTTATCGAAGCCTGTGTGTTGTTGTTGGTGGCATGTTTAAAACTTGTCGTATTCAAATAACGATTTGTTTTAAAAACGAGCTATTTAAATAAGCTTAATGATGTTTTTCGCGTATATATGCGAATACATTATTATTATCATAAGTCCCTGTGTAATGTTGTTTTAAAATTGTAAATTTCAGAACTTTCTCTTTTTTTTAAGGGGAACGCTCTTTTAAGGCCAGCTCTTCGAGAATAAACTTCTCCATCTGTTCCTGTCTCTCTCCCAGCTCCCCTCACCGTTGTACTCCAGGTCCCAATAATTCTGCACTCATGACAACACAATCCTCACATCTTAAGCGCAGTCTTTCTGGTGGTTGCTATCCCGCCGAGTTGCTTTCGATTACAGCGTCCTTGTTATTGATCCCCTCTCACTCCCACGCGCCCATTAATAGTTTGTCTCGAAGTAATTTCTTTTGCTACGCCACATTTACGAACAGTGGCGGTTAAAATACACCTATTATTTTTAGTCGAATTTTTGAGGAAAAACATTAAAGACTTGTTAAAAAAAAGTACAAAAAAATACAGGCTCCGTAATGTTAATGTAGTGCGGAGAGCGATAATTTGTTTCGTTGTTTTCGGACACATTATTTAACGGCATCGTTTTTACCGCAGTTTTTACCGAAATAATGAATTGTGCATAGTCTAAATATTAAATTTGTGTAACGATTCATGTATTTTTTACGTACAATATCCATAAACGCTGCAGTAATGCCGGGCGGTAATTACAAATTTTGTCGTCACCCCCCCCCCCC